CTACTCCCATCACAAATAAATTCCACAACAATCCCCAGATAGATAAATTTTTCCAACCAATTAGTTTCAAATAAAATACTACAGGGAGAATGAAAACGATGGCACACACTGAGAGTGCCCCCAAAAGTGCCATAAAGTCCCTAAATATATAAATATATATATATTAGAGCTTTGTAAAAAGATATCTTAAAGCATTTCATGGCAAATAGAAAAAAAATACGAACCCAAAAAATGGAACCAATACAGCAATTCCTGTACATATAGCAATAAGACAAGTTCGGAACAAAGCGCGAAAAGTAAATTCGGCCCAAGGGGAAAGATATTCACGTGTGATTTTTAAGTGTTTTTCAGCATCACAAGCGAAAGAAGTCATAAGAATCGGAGCAGTCATAAGCACATGCATTGTCATAAATAAAGACGCTATCGTCAACACAGGACCTACAATATTAAACTGTTAATATTTGTTTTGAGAATTTTCAAGACAAATTTGACTAACACTTTTACCTTTAGGTAAATTTAGAAAAATAGGACTCATTGCATTATCACCATATACATAATAACCGGCAAAAGCAACTAAAGCATACATAATTGCACATGTTGCCAAAGCTAATGCAACGACTTTATTCCAATTTTGTCTATCTTTGAAAGTTTAGAATTAAGGATAAAAATAAGTAAGATGAAATGAATATTAAACAAAAAAAAAAGGTATACACACTTTTCATGTTCTCTTCAATGTGAGGAAAAACGCTATTTCCTCCAAATGAAAATGAGATTGACGCGAGTGCAACAGGAAGTTCCGAAATAACCAATATATTATGCGAGGGCGGATTGGGAGCGCTAAGAACATTTGAAAGATCCGCAAACGAAAGTATCACAATAGCGATAACAGTAAAGAAAGTGGTGACAGCACCAAAAACACTAATGATAAAAGATATTGTTATTAATAATTAAAAATTAATGCATAAATCTAAAATAAAATAAAATAAAATAAATAATAATTATAATAATAATAACAATAACAATAATTATAATAAATAATAGTAATAACAATTAATAATTATAATTATTATATTTATTATTATTATTATCATTATTATCATTATTATTATTATTATTATCATTATTACCATTATTATTATCATTATTATTACTATGATTATTATTATTAAATTGAAACAAACCTTAAAACCACCACTTCTCTCAAAGTTTTTGTTAATATAAATGGTAAAGCTACGAATGCAGCAGATATTTGGGTCCATACACGGACACCTAATTTGATATCCCAAATTTGTTCTACAATACTATCAAGACTTTGTCCGGCCAGTATAAAAAATAATATAGGAACACCAAGCAGGATTGCGTTATTAAAAACTCCAACCAAAAAATATTTTCCAAAATTTCCAAATGCATGATATCCTATGTCAGCATAAGAGCTCAAACGAGTTTTCCTAAATGTAAAAAGAATAAGAAACACAATTCATGGATAACACACAGGAAATAAGAATATAGGACTTAAAAGTTTCATACTTATTATAATATAGACATCTTATTAAAATGACACTTGTGTGTAGTGTTATTAACATGGACAAAGCGATCAGGCTCATACCTATCCAGCCACTTTGTTTGATTGAATATGGCAAGCCTAGAATCCCGGTTCCTGCCACCACACAACTATGAATCAAAAAATAACAAATGGTTATAAATAATATCTATACACAATATATATCGCAAAACACAAGAGAACGATTTACTTACGTTACATTAACATAAGCAGCCCAACTTGAACCTGAAACTACTACTTCTTCCTCTCCGGATGATTCATAAGTATCATAAGTACTTAATGAATCACAAGTACGTTCTTCATCCGGTAATAATGGTTGATCCTCTGATGATGGATGATCAGGTTCATCTATCGATGGAGAACGTGAACTCGCCGCGGATAATGATTCCAAGGTTACTTCTGTTGCATCGGTTGCTTCCATAGTTAACGCAAAGTGTATCGACTTCGATATAAAATAATTACTACGAGATAGCGTGAAGAATTTTTAGAGATTCAGATGCGAATATTTATTATAAAATGGAGATAACAAATCTTCTTTGTAATCAATCATATCAGACGAACAATGAACAACTGCAAATACAATTGTTGTGCTTACAGACTTACCGATAAGGATTTTTGCGATACTGAATTCGCCTATCTATTATTATTTTTTTAGGGACGAATGTACGGACTGATACACAATGGAGTCTTGATTTGGATATGACAGGTTCTTTATGACCTTATGACTCTATGGAGGAATAATATTAAAATTTAAGCCAAAATTTTTTGCAGGAGAAAGCTTGCATAGTTCATAGTTTGCAGAATAATTATCTATGTATAAAGTTAAATACAAAACCGACTAACGTATCTAAGTTTGTGCACCAACAAACCTTAATGATAAGAAAACCTACATTAAAAAAAAAAATCGTATTGTGCGTATAAGCGTACGTGCATACGTACGTACGTACGTTTCCACTACAGCAATAAACTTTGGTCGATGTGCAAATAACTAAGGCTGTACGTACGTACGTATATTTATAATTTCTGTTTTCTTTATCTTTTGTTATGGGGTAAATATTTACGTAAGTACGTACGTACGTAAATAGTTAATTTTTAATTGCAAAGATGGTTATAAAGTTCTTTAAACCCTTTTTAGTTAGTATATACTATTTGTTATATATCAAACATCGGGAAAAAAACATATTTACCTCTCCACCTAAATTACGTTATATTATAATTGTATCAAATACTTGATTTATTTAACGTTAATCGTTCTGATTTACTAAACGATCTAACTACCTACGTACGTACGTACGTACGTACTAATAATTGTCACAACACATAATGCTACGCGGTTAAGCTAAAGCTGTTACGGATCACATTTTATGTGGATTCTTGCGCTAGAAAGACGAAATTTGATCACATGTATTTATAGATTTATTACAGTGAGCGAAATTACTAACGAATTTTTACCTTTAAAATTTTTAAAGCTTCGAGCTTAAAGCTAGCTAAATAATGCAATAAGTCGTGCAATTGCATAATTACTAGCTAATTCGGTATTCGATATTGTATTTACTGTACGTTCTGATACCGATGTCGATATCATTGCTAACTAGTGCATGGGATTATTGTCTCCGGGATGTTTTAAATAATTGTCACAGCTGAAGCTTGGATTTTATCCTATTTTTAAATTTTTTGCCGCATTTTTTTTTATATATTTAGGATTAACGTTATAGTGTTTACAATCAGAGCGTAGGTGGATTTTAATAGAGCTCGTACTTTTAAACAGAGACCTTCAATTTCTAGTTTTAGCAGTAGAAACAATAATAATTGATATTGTCATAAAACAAAATTTTATACTTCTAAAGCGGTTTAGTTTGAACTTTAATAAAAACCAAACCTCTATAAACCCTTTAGGTTTAGGTTATGGTATTAGCTATATATGGGGTCCCCACAGCAAAAGGTGGGTAATAATTTTGTATCCACAAACCTTTAAACTATAAATATATTCATTTGCTTATATTGTAAACAAGTGAAATATGTTTATAATTTAAAGGTTAGATTTGTAAACACAAAATTATTTTACACAAAACTAAAATGTCCCAAAGCCACCTTTTGCTATCGCTATCGCTATGGGTATATTATATAAGGTAAATGGTATAATGGCGCAGGGGGTAATTTGGCGCATCGAAAAATAAAGTACCGTTTACTACGTAGATACATATGATTTGGTTAATTTTTCACGTCTTGAAGCAGAAATTTTACAAATGTGAAAATAGATTAATGAAAAAAATTAACCAAATCGCCTCAAAATTTGGTGTCTAAAAAATGGTATTACCAATAACTTTACTTAGTGAATGAAATTTGATTTGTTTAGTAAAAAATACTATCTATTTTGTATAAATGTAATTTGCTAAAGAAAATTGATATTGTAATATTCTTTTTATTTATTTATTTATACGAGTGAAAATATGAATTCTACCATTCCTGATGGATCGTCGGTACTGTTCCTGATAGGGTGGGAAAAAAATAGATTTACATACCGTTTCTGATAGGGTTCTAAAAAAAGCCCCAAAATACTATACTATATACTACAGTCGGCCCTCTCAGAACCGGTATGCATGGTGGACGGGTTTAGTATCGGAAATAGTGATATGAATCGAAAATCGATTAATCGGTTAGTTGGCTGAGTTGGCAACTAATCGATTAACAATTTTGACC